CTTCCCCGATCTCCTTCCCTTCCGCTGGACACACTCCAGCCCCTCAGTGTCTCTCCTGTAGTGAGGGTCCCAGAACTGAACACAGGATTTGAGGTGCAGCCTCACCAGTGCCCACTGCAGGGGGGATCATCACTTCTAAATCTTTGTATTCAGAAGCTTGTTAAAGTATCATCAGGTTTTTTTAAATTTGGTGAAGAGATTCCTATCCTTGTGTGTCTTTTGAATAGACGCTTTCAGCATTGACTACTTTGTGTCTTACCTACTTCTCATGCTCTTCTTTCATCTGTCATTGATATTTTCAAATGTTCTCTCTTTCTCCCTCTTCCACCTGGTAATTCTCTGCAGCACTGTAGAAGTAGATGAAACCATTTCTGCCCCTAGACTTACATCTTGAGTAGAAGCGTGTATTGTCTGTCTCCCTCATGCAGTATGCTTTCCCTAATCAAGTGTGCTTGTATATCACCTTAAAGAATTACTAGCTAAACAAAATTGAGTTCCCTGTAAATAGGTGCTGTTATTTTAGTTCTCTCTCAGGTAGTTCTGCTGTACCTTGTTGTGTTTCTGATCAGCTGAGGAAGCTAAATATTACAGATTCTTTGTACGTTAAGACTGAGTTGTCATGTTAAACAATTGTGTATTTTATGTTTTGATCTGATCTATTAGGGACGACAAGCAAGAATCACTGTGCAAGCCATAGGGTTTTTTTTTTTTGTCATGTAATGCAGTGGTGTTGTTCTCAGTACTTAAGGTTGTTACTAATTGCTTGCCTTCTGGAGTTTTAAAAAGAACTTATGTACTCCTGTATTTCCACATCCTTCTCGGTTTGCCTTAGTGTAGATCATGTGCGTTTGCTATCTACCTTGCTTTATAATGACGGCTTGACTGTGGGAAATACGTGTGCTTTGGATTCTAGGAAATACTGGATTCCCTTGCTGAGCTCTACTCCTTGTTACAAGAAGAGGATATGTGGGCTGGACTATGGCAGAAACGCTGTAAATTCCCAGAGACAGCAACAGCTATTGCCTATGAACAACATGGCTTTTTTGAACAGGTACACTCTTGATATTAGAAATTATTTGAGTAGTTCTACTGTCAGGATGAATATTCTGGTCGGCAAGAAAATATTCTGAATATTAATAAACAACTTCAGTCTCCTAAAATAGAAAGTGCCACAGCTTCTCTACCAGCTGAAGTAGTAGTTTAAGGCCCTGTAATACCTAGATAAGGTGAGATCTTTCAGCACATCCGTCAGGTTTTCATGACATTTGTACAGCTGCCAAATAGTGACTGTATTCAGGAATGAGGTAACACACTTCATGGTTTTGTTTTTTAAACTTAGAATTTAGAAGAGTTTTCATATCACTTTTGTTTTAAAAGCAAAGAATGTTCAGGTAATGCGTATAAAGCAGATGGAAAAATAAAATGGTTTTGATTTTATTTAGGCACAAGAAACTTATGAAAAAGCAATGGAAAAGGCTAAAAAAGAGCATGAACGGAACAATGCTTCCCCTTCCATCTTTCCTGAGTATCAGCTCTGGGAAGACCATTGGATTCGGTAAGACTTTAAAGCTGACGTAGAGCAAGTGTTTTTACACTGCGGTAGACGTAAAACATTCCGCTGGTTTAAGGCATTAGTTACGAGAATCAGTTTAGCTCAGGGCTTACCTCAGATACAGTGGAAATTTAAGGAAATAAAAAAAAGCTCTTTTTTACTCCCTTAACAGACCCTCAGAACTGATATGCTGGAAGTGTTGTAAAAATGTAATTTGCTGTTGGTGGAAACAGGCTGAAGCTAAAATCTGTTTTTCCCATTTAAAATGGTTGGTCTGAGAGACACAAAATGCAGCTCTTCCCTGTGTATTGTAACTGGTAATAAATAATAAAAATAATCTTCCCATCTGGATAAAACTTTTGCAGGGCTTGCAAAGCTGTTCACAGACAAACACATAACAGAAATAATATTCTGATACACAACATTTACAGTCACTTTTACTGAATTGGTGGGTGGTGGGTTTTTTTTTTTTTTGGTAACCAAATTGAGGGTGGTTTTGATTTTTTTTTTTTTTTTTTAGTTGCTCAAAAGAATTGAACCAGTGGGAACCTTTGACAGAATATGGCCAATCAAAGGGTCACATAAATCCTTACCTAGTACTGGAGTGTGCATGGAGGGTCTCCAACTGGACTGCTATGAAGGAGGCTCTGGTGCAGGTGAGTGAGAGATTTTTATGCTAATGTTTAGTTTCTTTGTTTGTTTTACTGATTACATCTTTAACAAGTCAGCATTACAGTTCATTTTACACACACAGTGAGCTGCTCTTTGGAAGTTTTCTTTGATGTCCCAGCACACAGCTGAGTGTTCTGGCAGCTGAAGCATCATTTCAACAGACAAACTTGTTTCTCTTTTCTGTCTGTTTATAAAGCTGTACCGTTGTGGAAATTTAGCCAGGGCAGGTGAAAGATAATTGTGCATGGTAATGAGTCATTAAAAAGCAACAAATGCTTGCCACAGAAGTGTGTGCCAGCAGGTACACGTGGAGAAACTTAAAATGGGACCCTTGCAAGTATATGTTATTATTTAAAATAATGCAGTACTGGGGAGGGACGTTTTTTGTATTTTACACCTTTACAGGAACAGATGTTCCTTTTGTGAAAGGGAATAAAGTATGAAAATACATCTGTTACCATCTCTCTGTCTGTGGGCAACGTAACTGTGTTTCTGGGTGTAAAAGGGCAAAAGGCTGTTGCCTCTGTTTTTATTTGTGTTGGCATGGAAGGCAAAGCCAAAGTGTTGTCAGCTTCTGCTGTCCAAATTTAAAACTGCTAAACACTATTTATTCTGTTCATCTCCACTGCACATGAAAATGTGAGGGTCAAGCACTTGAACTAAGTTTGGCTTACATTCCTTAGTGTATCTGTGGAGTTCTGGCAGGGCTGTGTTTCAGGATCTGTGTTAAAAAATCCCTGGTAAAGCAACACATGAAATACCGGTTTCGGTGTTGATTGGTCGGTGAGGCTGGCATACACTGCAGGTTATACCAGTAGTTACTGTCTTCATTAAGACAGTGACAGATTTGAAGGGGTTTATATATGGTGGGAAATGTATTGGGATTAATTACTTGGCCCGTGCTGGTTTTCTTGTTTCTTGGGTTTCATAGCCTTGCTTAGCAGAGCCAGAGCAGGAGGTTTGTTCTTTCAGTAGCAGTGTTCTTCTGTACTGTCTGTCTGGGGATTGCTTCCTGTATCTATCATCTTTTGCCTTTTTTTTTTTTTTTTTAAAAGCACTCCAATACGTTATTAGTACAAATTAACTGCTAGATCTCTAAAGTTATTCTCACTTTGAGTCTGCTTTAGTTCCATTCAAAATAAGTCTAATCTGATTTTTGCAATGTATCCATTACATAGAATGTTAAAATACACTGGGAGCACCAGAGGTTGGAGCCAGTGTGGTCCAGGCTAGAAAGTGGAGACCTAATGAGAGATGAGGGACAAGAAGAGCAGGTAATGTACCTCGGGTAGAGAGCTTGAGATTGGGAAGCAGTGAGAAGGATATGAGGTGAGGTTGGAGGAGTACAGCTTGGACTGGGAGTTACAGGGGTAACTGGGTAAATAGTCTGAGGCAAGAAGCTGACAAAGTGATTTCCTTTGAGAAAATGTAAAGGACTTTGTAAAACTAACAGAGGAGAGAGTCATTAATATGTATTTTGCCGGGTGCATCAGTGAGACCAGCTGTGCAGGAGACACGGTTTGAATTGATTGACAGGGAGAGAGATGGGGATTGGGTTTGGGCAAGATCACCATGATTAACGAAAGGGATAGGTTACTTGTGATGGAAAAAATATACTGATTCTGGGAAAGTATGTTTATAAAGCAAAAGGGCATGGTTAGCTTTTCGATGGTTGACTTTCAGATGTGTTCCCCAAACAATTTTTTGTGTGTATATCTTTATAGTAGAAAGTATGCAAGTCAAAATACAGAGACCACTTACAAGAAACAGTAGGCTTTTGTGAAGTGACAGTTTCAATCTACAGTCTTGACTGAAAAAAAGAAAGAAAGCTAAAAAGTATTTTTATTTCCTCTCAAATTGTGACAATATATGGTAAGTTTTGTGCTAGAAGTAAGTAACATAATGGTTGTCCAGACTTTGAGATATGTATCACAGGGAGTACTGGGGCTTCAAGATCGCACTGCTAGTAGGAGTTGTTTCCTCTAAGTTCCTTATTTGATGTTCTGTCACATCCTAAGACTTGGGTTTGGAATTTTCTGGAGTTCCAAGGTTTCCTCAGGAACTTAATGCATTGATGATTATGCTTGTATAGTTTAAAGTTGACAGAGCCATGAAATGTCTGTGTTGGAAGGGACTTCTGGAGGTGATCTGGTCCAGTGCTCCATTCCGAGCAGGGCCCAAGTCAATCAGGTTGCTTGCCTAGTAGAATTTTAGTATCTCTAAGAATCGAGATGCCACAGCCTTTCTGGACATATTCTCCATCTGGAGTAGCATAGATGTGTCCTGCCTGCTATCTGTTTTAGAAACCAGCATAGTACTTGGCTTCTTTGGTTAGAAGCTAAGAAACTTGTATATGGCCAGTTGAGGTAATCATCTTCAGTGGTAACGGACAAAATGTATTGTTTGTACTTTCCTGCTGTTGACCTTCCTGATTCATTATGGAGTTCATTATTGTGTTCTGCTTGTAATTCATTTTGCTGAACAGCATGCACTTGTAAAACATTTAACCTTCCCTTTGTCCTTTCCTGGTTTTCACTCGTGAGACTCTGTATTCTCTGCTATCCGTGTGCTTGATGAATGAACACTCGGTCAGGTTGTGGCTGTTACAGAGCGGTTTGAAGGCAGAGGGCACACTGCACACAGAAAACATTTTTGAAGATTTAAATCTGAAAGATCTTTTCTCTTTCCAAGTATTCATGAACATGTATTTTTTGCGAATAAAGTTTAAGTGGCTAGGGAAACATGCTGTAACAAGCTCCCTTTTTATGGAAAGATGCAACAGAAAATACCTAGGTAGATAGTTTTACTTGAGAACAAATTTTGATGACTACTTCTACTCGCATAAAGCTGGCCATCTTTAGGTAATTCCTCCTTATCCTCTCAGACATCGTTGTCCCAACTTTTCGAAGAACCATCCCATGAGCTGGTGCTTATTGTTCCTGAGGTTGCTATAAAATGTCAGGCTGTACAGCCTCTTTGGCTTCTTGGGGCAAATGACCCAAGAATGGGCCTTATTGGGGCAAACAACAGACTTCCCTGTATTGGAGTCACCGGTAGATTTTTCTGGGAATATTTTTTTTTTTTTAAATTTTGTATACAGTGTCACTGTTTCATAGAGAAGACACTGTGAGTGTGGTGGTTTTTTTCTTAATTTTTAGGAAATTCAACCTCTTTTCCTGGTTGGTAGAGTTGTTCATCTGTAATTAGTTAATGTAGAAACATCAACCAGATGTAGAACTGAAATCTGAAAAATGAGAATGCTGCATGAAATCGGAAGTGGGAAGGAGCTTGCTGGTCTTCATTGCACTGTTGCTATATGGCCTGGCGTTACTGGAATTACTCTGCTGAAGGTGCCAGAGTCTGGAAGGAGATAAATTGCATATTTAAAGTACAGTTTTACTGACAAATCTATGAACAGAGCCTTAGGCTCTTTTTTCGTATTGCAGAGAGAGCACCAGAAGAATGACTCCCTCACTTAATTGGGGTTTGTTGTTTCATCTGTGCTCTTGACGTTTTGAACCAATACCTACCAGTTATGTAGTATTACATGTCAAGCTGACACCTGAAAGTCTAGTTTCGTAGTATTTGCAAAAGGTAAAGCATGATTATGAAAAGTGCTGAGCATCCTTTAATTCCAATATCTTGCAGGATTAAGTTCCTATACACAAAATATCCTAACAGCACGCTTCATTGCGACAGCTCAGTCTCACGTGATAAATATGCGGAGTTGTGTGTGTTTCGTTCTTCAGAATCAGACTGAACATTTTTTAAATGGACTATGTTTATTCTTCTGTAACACACTTTTGTCAGAGGAAAAATAGGTGGATGCAATCTGTATGTTTTCCTTTAAGGCTAAACTATGAAACCAGAAAAAACTGTGTGATTAATTAAAGGTAGTGTTGTCTTTTGCTGGAACCTGAATTAAGGGTGTCCAGCCACCGCAACATTTGAGATGGAATTTTTTCAGTATTTGTAGTACTGATGGCTCAGATTCCGTAGATGTCTCCTACAGATGGATTTTATGATTTATTGGCCCATGTGAAGCTAAATCTGTAAGTAGCAAGCAACAAATAGATGTTTCCTGTCCTATTTGAGTATGCAGTTTCAGTGGCTAATTATTAAAATGATATTATTTGAGAAACCTTTAAAGCCTAGATTAAGAAGGAGGTTGTTCAGCGTAGTATAAACCTTGAGTTTGAACAAGAAGTAGATCATGTCTGACCGGTTCTGGTTTGGGAGATTTGTGAGTTGAGTAGAAGTGACAACCACAAGTAACTGCCGGTTTGCTCTGGCTACAGTTACATTAAATGAGAGATTTTCAATAATGAGACATTTACTAAATGACTGAGGAGAAGATGCTGCTGAAGCTGTAAACGGGGCTTTTGTGGCTCTAGTCAGATTCTTGTAAAAGTGTCAGAACACGTTTGCATAAATATTAGGATTTGAAAGAATAATTGATTCTGTACTGCTATACTCACTACTCCATTTTATTGATTTTCTTTAATGTGGCTGTTTTTTGTCAATTCCATGGTTGATTCACAAGAGAGGTCAGAAGAGATGGCAAATACATATCGTTTTTTGTAAATCTTTGTGAAACGTTTTTAATAATCTGCCTTTAAAGCCAAGCTATTAAAATAGCAAGAGGCCTTTGATAGGACCCAAGACTCATTTCCGTTTACTCACATCGCCGATGTGTTTAATGATCCAGTAGATAATGTAATAAAGAAAGAGATTATTTTCACTCTATAAGGTTGCTACCTGGCAGTTTCTCTTTGCTGGCTCAGGCGTAAAAGTCAGTTGAGGATAACAGAAATAACAACTGTAGTGGTTAAGATACAGTATATCAACAAGGAGATAATGCAGAGGGTTTCTGTGTTGCCTGTCAAACCATAAAGGGTATGATGCAAAGTGGAAGAAAGACAAGTCAAAGTTGCAGGTCTAAGCCTGCGGTGTCAGCTAATGAGCATCAGTTAAGTGCAAGTTTACTGTAAAATACTCACAGAATTAAGTTGCTAGACAATTCAAGTACTTGCTGGTTCTGGTTGCTGTATTTCTACTGTTCCAGGATTTTAAGAAAATAGCTTAAAATGACGTTTTACATCATTTTAGCAGTATGACCTGACTTTGGACCTATACTCAGGAATGAATTTGATGTGAATGGGAAGGTTAGCTGTAGATGACTCAAAGTATTAACTGTTTATTCTCAAACTTCGTGATGTCCTAGAGCAGGCGTTTGGGAAGTATAGTGCTGACATACAGGGACGGGATCCTTTTAAGTGAGAGGTTGACATTGTTCTGGAGCTCCTCAAGCATTTCAGGGGTTGTAGGCGTTACCTGCTGAGAAGCATCTTTCTTCTCTGTACAGGGTGAATGGGTTTGCAGTAAGCTTCATGCTCCTGTTGCAAGACTGCTTTCAGCTTGCTCAGCTGTCTGAGCTGCACGACGGTTGTCAGTGTGCAAACACCCTACAGCAGGTTGCATGCAGCACTTCTGCTTGTGCTGAATTTGCAATTTGTCCACTAGCCTGCCCTTGCGGATAACTGAGAGCTGCAACTTCTCTAATGATGAAATTTTTGATATTCTAGTCTAATGTTTTAAGAAAATGAGCTAATTTTTTTTATAAAAAATAAACCTGGGTGATTTCTTAAGAAGGGTTTTAAAAAAAGTAATTGTAAAAAGCCTGCATTTGAGTATGAATGATCTTTGCTAGACGTTTTTCCATTTCATTACCAGGTGGAGTTGAGTTGTCCAAAAGAGATGGCATGGAAAGTGAATATGTACAGAGGGTATTTAGCAATCTGCCACCCGGAAGAGCAACAGCTCAATTTCATTGAGCGTCTGGTAGAGATGGCGAGTAGCTTGGCTATTCGCGAGTGGCGAAGGCTTCCTCACGTGGTCTCACATGTTCACACTCCCCTTCTCCAGGTAAGAACGACAGGTTGTTTATTGACGGTTACTTTCCAGTAGCAGGTTTCAGAACATTTTGTAACTGAGTGTATAATTTACTGTATAGTACTGATTGTTTTTTCACAATGCCGTTTTCTTGTTAGAAGTTGCAGAATATGCATTTTGATTTGGATTCCTTCCAAAGTTTTTTATGGTTTACCTGAATCCATTCTCTTTGTGGCATACAGAGGTAGCTATTTAAAAATCGATCAGATGGCTCAACGATTTTTCTGGGCTACTGCCTAATGCACGGCAGTACTTGGAGATCTTGAACATTCAGTGGGTTTTGAAGTGAGGTCCATTTTGGGTGGGTGTTTATGGTGTGTCATCCTGTGTGTGATTCAGAAGTAATTAACTGGGCACCATTGAAGGTACCTCTACTAAAATGACTGTACTTCTGGGTAGAGCTAACACAGCAGCCCATACCTTCAGATTTTATAGTAGAAGTTGATGCATCAGATAAAGTGAATGAATATGGAAGTTTTCTCCATATTGAGAGGAAGTTGTCAGATAAATAGGAATAATGTTTCATTTGTTTGAGCTGATAAAATACCACTGGAAAGCTTCTTGATGAAATTAATTCCTTCCTGCTAAGTTTTCACGTGATATTTCTAGTTTTTCCTCCCCCAAGAATGGCAGTATCTGTGGCATGAAAGGATTAATATTGCTGAATAAAGTATTTAAATGCTTTCAGATGTCAATTAAAACAAGCTTTTAAAATGATATAATACGTGTATGTTCCTCATGAAGAAATGATAAATTAGTCAGTGACTGACATGGGTACAAATGCAGCCATGAATTTGCACTGCAGTAATTACTTTTTCTAATATCAGATAGTATGTGATTGAATACCTGTGAGAAAATTAAATTTATGTGATGAATGGGTGTGGGATGAAGGTTAAGCTATTGTGAGAGCTGATACTGAGGCGATTGTAGGAAAATATTACTTTGTTAATTTATTTTGTTTCAAGAGGATTCACTCTGAATTTGGACTGCCTTCTGCACACACACTCCCCCCACACTCCCCCCCCCCCCCCCCCCCCCCCCCCCCCCCCCCAAGTTATCTTTTTTGTTTGATTACCAATGAATACAACTGCTGTCTGCCAAGTGGTAGCTTAGAGAATACTACCTTGGGTTTATTGCACTACAGGTAATTAAATTCCATTAAATTTTGTGGGCCTTTTCTTCAGGTTGTTGAAGTTGTAACAAAATGCCTGATGCCTTCAGTAGGTTTGAGGCTACTGCCATCTTCTGTTTGTCCCTCTCATTAATCTGGGGATAGTAGATGTCAGTGAAAAACCATTCCTCACTTAAGGAACTTCTCAAAGCTAAGGACTTTGCAGAATATCTTAAAGTAACACCTTTAGGAGCACATATATAATATTTGTGTACACTCAAGTTTCTATCAAGAAGTCACAGAATCACATCCTGGTTTGGGTTGG